TTTTTATAAAATTAATAATTTTAATAATAAAAAATAAAAATATTTTAAAAAATATACTTATTTATTTTAAATATGTCCTTATTAATCATTTAATATTAAACAACAAACGTTAACTATTATATAGCCAAACAATTATATTTATCGAATTCGCTATTTACCATCCATTACTCACTTTCCGTTATCCGCCATCCGCTATTCGTTAACTGCCACCCGCTACCTGTTACCGCTATCGCTATTCGTTACCCGCTATCTGTTATCCGCTGAATTTTAACCGCTGTACCAAACAGGCCTCTTAGTACGCTAATACTCCATCCAACTTTTTGGGAATGCATATTATACATTTTAACAAGCGAAAAGAAATCTCAATGATTTTTTTTTTTTTGGATGAAGTGTAATTTGTAAGTATAATTCAAGCACATGTCAATTAGTCAACAAATCAAAATTTCAAATAAATCAGTAACTCTATCAAATTAATCACAAATTACAAAATAATTAACATTTAGGACCAACTTTAAATCAATAGAGAATAACAGCATTTTCTAAAGTAGAAGTAAGCATATCTCATGTGATTCATTTAGTTTCTGGGGGTAATAATTGCCATTTGGCAACCTACAAGGAATTAATATTTTATTACCTAAAAAATTATAGTGAAATAAAGACAGTAACAGAGTGTATAACATAAATCTTAGATTGCAATATTATAAGTAGGTATAAATAAAATGGACTACCAATTGATAATTGTATGGGTATAGTGTCCTTATACTTACATTAATAAAATTATTGTTTAAAAAAATATATTATAAAATATAAATGAGTTCTTGATGTTAAAATTTATTTTTGATTTAATAACTTTTATTTCATAATTAAAATTACAAAATAACTATCCCTTCCTGCATTGGAAACTTTTCATTCCTTGGCTCCCCAGAGCCAAAATCAATTGAATTTCACCTCTGGAAGTAAATTCAAAATTATCTAGCCATAAAAATTCCTCCTTTCCACTTGATGTGCAGGTGCTACCTCCTAAAATATTAAAACCACGTAAGTTATATTTAATTTAATTAATATTTTATTAATTTATAATTTTTTAAAAATTAATTATAACGTTTGAAGTTGGCAATGCTGTTATCGATTTTGGAATGTTATTAGCAGTCCGCTTTCACAACCAAACAATAATTTTCCTTGGGATTCCAAGTATGGACTCCTTTTGCTACTTTTTTTTTAAGTTTATTTATTAAAAATATAATATATGTAGTAAAAATTTACTTATATAAATTTATAAAACTCTCACATTAATTTTTAAT